TGGCGTGCCCCCAAGCCCCTCCTGGCCGTGACGGTGCCCCCAGCGCGGGGCACGCGGGGTCCCCAACAGGTCCAGCTGTGGGGACGAGCCACCACCCGTGTCCCTGTGTCCCCAGACCCAACTGCCAGCAGCACCCCGGGGTGCCAGCCCAGGCCCACCCGCGGGTCCCCCACGGCCCGTCCTGTGCCCCCCGTGCCCCCGTGCCCGGCCCCACCTCTGCTGGAAGCGCTCGTTGATGGACACCCAGACGTCGAAGTAGATCTGGGGCTGGCTGACGTTGTAGCGCGGCAGCAGGCGGCTCAGGCACGCCGAGTACTGCTTCAGCATGTCGGCGTGGTCCCGCCAGCGGCGGCTCTGCGTGAACGCCTGCGGCGGCGCGGGGAAACCGAGGCACGGGGAAACTGAGGCACGGGGACACCGAGGCACGGGGAAACTGAGGCACGGGGACACTGAGGCATAGAGACACCGAGGCACGGGGAAACTGAGGCACGGGGACACTGAGGCACGGGGACACCGAGGCACGGGGACACCGAGGCACGGGGAAACTGAGGCATGGGGACACTGAGGCACGGGGACACTGAGGCATGGGGACACTGAGGCACAGGGAAACTGAGGCACGGGGACACTGAGGCACAGGGAAACTGAGGCACGGGGACACCGAGGCATGGGGAAACTGAGGCACGGGGAAACTGAGGCATGGGGACACCGAGGCACGGGGACACTGAGGCACGGGGACACTGAGGCATGGGGAAACTGAGGCACGGGGAAACTGAGGCACGGGGACACTGAGGCACGGGGACACTGAGGCATGGGGCAGTACTGCAGGGAAACTGAGGCACAGGGAAACCGAGGCACGGGGAAACTGAGGCACAGGGAAACTGAGGCACAGGGCAGCACCACGGGGAAACTGAGGCACAGGGAAACTGAGGCACAGGGAAACTGAGGCACGGGGACACTGAGGCACAGGGAAGCCGAGGCACAGGGAAACTGAGGCACAGGGAAACTGAGGCACAGGGAAACTGAGGCACGGGGACACTGAGGCACAGGGAAGCCGAGGCACAGGGAAACCGAGGCACAGGGAAGCCGAGGCACGGGGCAGTTTGGGAGTGAGGGGGGTCACTCACCCCCG